ATATGAACCTCAGTTTTCTCACCTGTAAATATAAGGATTATTTAGTCTATTTCATAGACTTGAAATGTATATATAATCATAAAAAGCCATCTCAAAAAATAGGTTATATGTCAACCATTTCCTTAGGAAGTGCTTTACTCTACAATTAATCAATATATTAATGGGAAAAAAGATAAGTACAGTACTTTGAACTGTACTTAGTTTTTATATTCTTTTTATATTATTTAATAAAAGATTTTAAGCGTAGAATTTTAAATCTAAAAATAAATTTATCTTATATATTCCAACTTTCTATTTTAAGAATGAGGAAACTTAGACCCAGAATGTGAGTTGTCAAGGCAAACAGTTAACAGAATTTGAGTGGGAACCCAAAGCTCTCAGGGAGTGGGTTTCCCAGAAATCAGCCACCTCATAGATATTACTATTGCCCATATTTTCAGACATGAGTTTCAGTTCAAAGGAAACTTTAGAAAGAGTTCCTGGACACCAAATGGTTTTAACAAATCATTGCTCTGTTGTGTCAAGTGTAAACAAAGCTAAAATTAAAATTTCCCTTAAAACACACAAATATAAAACCAGTGAGAAAAAAACAATCCCTAGAAAGTGCTTTTGGATGTTATAGAAGCATTCCTCCAGTCTTCAACAAAATTGTTTTTGCCAAACCCCAACTGCAACTTGATTTCCAATCACTAGTTTTTATTGCTGTTTTCAATAATGCATCAAACACATGGGATCTATTCTCTCATCAATGCTCAGACATAATTGGCCAAGTAGGATAGAACAAGAGCAGGACAGATCATGCAAAGCAATGATGATCCCATTACAGTAGTTTGCACTAACTTAGATTCAACCAACATTCAGTGGGCACATACACGAGTAGTAGCTAGGGATATATACAAGGATGAATAAGATATAGTTCCTGCTTCCAATAAACTAAAATATAAAGAACATGTACACAGATGACTATAATTTAGCATAGGACAATTATTATAAAGTAAAAACATTTTATAAAGCTTTTATAAGGCGTAATAAATGGATGTTTACTTGATTCCATTTCAATTGGAGAGTATGGTAAGTAGAATTCTTAGGACGACCTCAAATGACTCTTGCCCTTGTATAATCCCCTCCTTTTTCAATATGGGGGAACCTGTGAATACTATATATTCCTGTATGTAGCAGAGATTTTTCAGGGTACAGAATTACAAAACTGCAAGGTACGGAATTTTGTCCAACAACCTGAATGAGCTCAAAAGAAAAGTCTTCCTCAGAACCTCCAGATTAAAGATCCAGTCTGGCTGATATCTTGATTTCAGCCTTGTGACATCTAAAAGCAGAGAATGCAATGACTTTTGTTGAGACTTGTGACTTGTATAATAGAACTGTAAGGTGATAAATGGACAATGTTTTAAGTTACAAGTTTGCATACATTTCTGAACATACTACAGGTCTATTAAATTTCACTTGATGAGGTAAACTGAGCTAAAAGGAATAATAATGGAAATTATAACAAATAGTGGCTCTCTAGTATTTGTCTGGTGCCAGGGCCTAGACTTTAGATAGATGTTTCATTCAATCCTCACACCAACCTCATGAGGTAATACAGGGAATATCCTTTTTTTTAAATTTTTTTTTATAGAGGAGCAAACAAAGAGAAGTTGAATCATTTTTTCAAGGTCACACAACTAGAAATTAGGAATGTCAGGACTCAGCTCTGCTGTCTGAATTTAGAGTCTGAGGTGTGTGTGTGTGTGTTTTAATATATTATTTTTATTGATTTCAGAGAGGAAGGAAGGAAGGAAGGAAGGAAGGAAGGAAGGAAGGAAGGAAGGAAGGAAGGAGAAGAAGAAGAAGAAGAAGAAGAAGAAGAAGAAGGAGGAGGAGGAGGAGGAGGAGGAGGAGGAGGAGGAGGAGGAGGAGAGAAAAACACCTATGGTGAGAGAGAATCATGGATTGGCTGCTTCCTGCAAGTCCCACTGGGGATCAAGCCCACAATCCGGACATGTGCCCTTGACAGGAATTGAACCTGCGACCTTTCAGATTGCAGGCTGAAGCTTTATCCACTGAGTAAACCGGCTAGGGTGAGAGTCTTAGGTTTTAACCACTGAACATAATGCCTGTTTAAAATAAATGAGAAGAGCCCCACATAATAGTTTTAAGAATCCACATACATAAAGTATGTTTACTTTTCATTTAGAATGAGATGATGTAACAGATGCATGTCACCATGTGCCCAAAGAGTTCATTTGTCCTCATTGTTTTCTGCCCACTCCCCCCACTAAGTGTCAGGTGCCAATGTGCTGAGAAATAAGACAGCACCTCAGCAAACAGTCTGTTGGATCTGGAGGAGGTGGGCTGTTAGAAGAAAATAAGGTGGTGGTGAGTTTTCACTTGTGATGAGGCACTTCACATAGAAACAGTGCTGCTTCACTATTCCTCAGAACCAAAGCCAGAATGTGTAGGTCACATTGTCTAAAAGAAAATGAGAGCTCACTCCTGGATAAACTTGAGTTTTTATAGATTATGTGACCTTTCTCAAGCAGATATTTTTAGAATTGTGAACTCCTGTAAAGGTCCAAGGACTCCATCAACCTGGTCACATCAGGTTGGAGCCTGCAAAGCTTTCCTAACACATATCTTGTGCACAAGGGATTCTAGGAGGTCTTATATGGCTGAAAGATTGTACATGTTCAAGGCCGTGGGCTTAGAGGTGGGTAAGCATGCTAGCAAAAACTCTAAGCTCACTAGCATAGAACAATGAGATCAACACATCAGCCACAAAATCACTTGTCATTGGCTGCTCATATTATTCAGGATTAAATTTTCAGTATGTTAATGAAATGACTGATGTATACATAATGGAGAGACTTGGCTGAATGTGTGATAACAACATAAGTCTGAGGTGTGTGTGTGTGTGTGTTTTAATATATTATTTTTATTGATTTCAGAGAGGAAGGAAGGAAGGAAGGAAGGAAGGAAGGAAGGAAGGAAGGAAGGAAGGAAGGAAGGAAGGAAGGAGAAGGAGAAGGAGAAGGAGAAGGAGAAGGAGAAGGAGAAGGAGAAGGAGAAGGAGAAGAAGAAGAAGAAGAAGAAGAAGAAGAAGAAGAAGAAGAAGAAGAAGAAGAAGAAGAAGAAGAAGAAGAAGATCTTTATGCAGAACTTACTGAAGGGTAGGCTGTGTGTTATAACTTATTGGGTGCTTACACACACTCATAAACATAAAAGAGGTCTTAACGTTATTCTTATTTAGAAAAAACAAACACAGAAAGACTAAGTACATTGCCCAAGGTAAAATAGCAAAGGTATGATTAAACCCCCTGACTCTGGTGTCTATGCTTTTAAGCACAATACTCAAAATTTTGTTTGTTTGTTTACTTATTTTATTCATTCATTCATTCATTCATGGCCCTTAGTGATACTGGATAGCAAGTTTGAGAGAAAAACAGAGAAAAGCAAGGCCCTAGAAATGTTATGCTCTTATGATATATCAACCACAGGATATATCCTTTTGTAAAGAACGTCTTTGAAAATATACTGTGGCCATTGTAAGAAGAAAAGCTGTTCCAAAGACTGGGGAGGACCAGTGTCTGGGGAAGAAATTTAGGTCCAAAGAAATATAAAGACCAAAGAAGAAAGATAACTCTTCTGGTCACAGACTATTTCTTACACAGTTCTGCAAAATTTATAAGAATTTCATTTAGTTTTATATGTAAAGTGAAACTAGAATACCTTATCTTTAAGAGGATTCAAAATAATTGTGGTTGACCCATTCAAAAAATATTTGTTGATTTCAAGTGTATATTTTTATGATGTATGATCTATATATTGCTTTGTGTACCCACCACTCAAACACAAATAATCTTATTAACCAAAGACATCCCAATAAATTAACTTAAAGAAGATTTTTTTTTGAGAAGCTACTATGTAACAGGGACTGTGACAACCAACTAGGATATGGTTTTGAGCAAAATAAAGACAGTCCCTATCCTCATATCACTTACAAACCAATATTAGTGAGACCTAACATCACCAGACACCGTCCTATATGTCTGAAATGCATTATCTCATTTAATCACCACACAACTGCCAAAGTGGAAGATTGAGTTATAAAGAAATTGACTTGCCACAGCCACATAGTCAATGGCAAACTAATAAGAAATAGATTGGTTGACTCCATGACATATCTTTGAATCCAATCATCTCTGTATAAATCCAAATAATGCTAAAGTCTAATGTATTACTGTTATAGCACAGCACCAATTGTGTCTGAAAATAATCATCAAATATCAATGAACTAGAGGCCTGGTGCGCGGATTTGTGTACATTGAAAGTAAATTAATTAGAAGGTGGCTGGTGGGGGGAAGTGGGCAAGAAGGGTTGGACACACTCTGAAGCCAACCTCCCGTGGTCCCTCCTCAGCTGCCTGCAGTGCTGGGGCTCGAAGGGCTACTGCAGAGTGAGCGAGGTCCCTCTGGCAGGTGGGGTTCTTCGCCCTGGCCTGGGGGATCGGGCTGACACTGGCAGTCTGACATCCCCCACGGGGTTCTGGAGTACCAAAGGGCACTCTGCAAAGTTGCTATCACTCAGCAGCTCCTGCATTAAGTGTCTGCCCCCAGGTGGTCAGTGTGAGTCATATCTACAGGCCAATTGGCCAGTCACTTATGCATTCTTCTTACTCAAGCATTAACTTACAGTCACAAAAAATATTTTTTTGAAAAAGAAATATCCACTTTGATTTTTCAGACATTGCCAGTGGGAGAAAATATATTGTTACCTCCACCACTCAAAAACCTTCTAGTTCCTTTTCAAACTAACCCTTGGAACTAAGTTTTCATTTCTACTTCAGTATGGCATTCACTCATTACAGCACTCCTCAATTAAGCACAGATAACTGTGGCCAATTGAACACTTGTAGTGACCATTTTAAAAAAGTTTTTCCACTAGTTTGTAGTACTTGTCCTGTGTTTATTTCATGACAAACTGCTTTTTAAAGAATTGATATTGTGCCCACTGTGGCAGAACATATACTAAAATTGGAACAATATAGAGAAGATTAGCATGGCCCCTGTGCAAGGATAACATGCAAATTTGTGAGGCATTCCATATTTAGAAAAAAAATAAAGAACTGATATTTCCAACTAATTACCTGACACAGAGTATCCAAAGTTATTTGGTCTTTAAAAAAATAAAAAAAAAACACAACAACCCTACACCCTGCTATTGAATCTCAATATGTACATGCCTCACAATGGGTAGGTGTCTGTAAACAAGAGAGATAATTTATCTTCAAAGTATCAGATACATTTTTAAAGGTTTGTTGAATGGCAGAAAAACAAATTAGTCTTTTCTAAAGAAAATAAGGACATATGACTCATTGCCAAAACATTCCTTGAAATTTCATTTCCCTATGACCTAGGTTTTTAATTTCAAGACGAAATACCTTATTTTAAAAGATAAGTATCTACCCTCTGGAAAAAATCTGATGCTTTCTTATTTTTCCCTGCCATAAAAGGAGGTTCAGGAACACTATAAATTATAGGTTGCAAGCAACCATTTAATTTAGATTAAATTAGACAGCAATTGTATGTTAAGTAAATATGAAATGGCTCTGAATGTGTTTGTTAAAGATTAAGAATTCTATAATACTTGGCTTCTATTACACATTTGTTATTGCTGATTTTTAAAATAAATCACTATTTAATTAAAATATTTAAAGAGCATTTACAAAGGAAAGTATAACATTTAGCAAACTCTATGGCAATCTAATAAGCCCAATAGAGTAGCTCTTAAAAAAGTATCAGATTGCCGAAACCAGTTTGGCTCAGTGAATAGAGCGTCGGTCTGCGGACTGGAGGGTCCCAGGTTCTCTGGTCAAGAGCATGTACATTGGTTGCGGGCACATTCGGGGGAGGGGGGGGGGGTGCGCGCGGGCACGTGCAGGAGGCAGCTGGTTGATGTTTCTCTCAAAAATGTTTCTAGCTCTCTATTCCTCTCTCTTCCTCTCTGTAAAAAATCAGTAAAATATATTTTTTTAAAAAAGTATCAGATTATCCAACATCGTGGCAGAAAATCTGCAGTGTGAATATGGCTAAGATCATATAAAATCTTTATAAATGCCATAATTCAACTTGTCAATATGGACCCAAGAAGGGTCTTATTTTAAATATTTGTCATCAAAATGAGGTGGTCTATTATATGCTATTCCCATCTGTCATTAAAAACAAAACAAAAACAGGAATACATTAAAGTAGATCAAAACATATCCATCAATTGCTTGAAAATAACTATTATTTTTGAGGAAAAACTTAAATATTCCAGAGAGTAATTCGTTGTGATTTAAAAAATATATATATTTTTATTGATTTCAGAGAGAAGAAGGGAGAGGAAGAGAGGAATAGAAACATCAATGATGAGAATCATCAAATGGCTACCTCCTGCATGCCTTCTACTGGGGATCCAGCCTGCAACCTGGGCATGTGCCCTGACCAGGAATGGAACCGTGACCTCCTGGTTCGTGGGTCAATGCTCAACCCTTGAGTCACCCTGGCGGGGGTCATTGTAGTTTTTATCCTGCATTGTTTTTCCTGCTTTTCTAAGTTGGAGATGTGTGACATGAAAAGGAAGTGGTTCCCTGACCATGCACAGGTCTTCCATCTTAAGCACTATTTCTTTGTAAGGCCCAATATCCACCCTGTATTATATAAAATACTATAGAACCTTCAACATGGCAAAGACAATATTTCAGGGAGGGCGGTGGCATTTTAGGTCCAACACTTCCAGGCACTTAAGAGATCTGAAAGATGACAGGACTCAGGAATTGAATGTTGAGAGAGGGAAGTAAGCAGAGGCCAGATTCAGGATGAGTAGATCAAAGATCAAGAAGAGTAGCCACAACTTTGGTGTCCAGCTAGGTTTGCATCAGAATAAATGATGACAAATGCTGGCAATTCTGGAATCATTAATTATGGGCATCTTTTAATAAAAGTCTGTAATGAGATTAGGCAACCGATTTTAGAGCTAAAGATAACACAGAGGCACTTGCTTAGAAGTCAAGCTGAAGTATACTTGGAATATGCAGCTATTGCTCCTCCCTTGAGTGTCAGTTCAGATTTACCAAAGGTAGTTAAAATTTAAGAATCAAACAACAACAACAAAGAATCTGGATGTTATGGATGGACCTATAGCTGAAAAAATTTGAGAATTTTATTAAGCTATGAACATCAGCATTTTCTTATTCCAATCACAAGTGTCATAGCTTCAGGGGGAAAAAGCAACTAGATGCGCAAAGTTACTTAATTAATAATGTATGACAAAAGAAATTCAGACTAACTATTAAAGGAATATGGCTTGTATATATTCCTAACCAATGGACACAGACACCATGGGGATGAGGGCATGAGAGGGGAAGGGGGTTGAGGGACAATGGGAGGATAAGGACACATATGTAAATGCCTTAATCAATAAAGAAAAAAATAAAATTAAAAAAGAATATGGCTTTTATGTATAAAAAGAGTTGTGCAACTCATAACTACTTTCAACCTCAAATTCATTAAAGAGAAATTATTTCTCTTAGGAGATACCCAGATGTTGTCTGCCAGCTGCTTAAATACTCCCAAGACATTTGTTGGTTATTATTAAAAGAATGTTAGTTTTTAGAAAAAATTATCTAGTCTGTCTTGTGAAGCATCAGTGACATAACCAGTGTGGCACCACTGCTTCTGAATTTGAATAACATTGGATAATGTTAAATCAACAATTACAATGAATACAGTCATCTAAATTCTAGTTCAAGTTCTATGACCTGCTGGACAAAGCCAATTCCCATCTCTAGGTTTTTATTTCTCTATGGGTCAAATAAAGGGGTTAGACTAAGTCAGTATTTCTTACAATGAGATTAGCCTCTGGCTAATCACAATCATATGGGTGTTTATTAAATGCAGATTCCTAAGCCTCATTAACAACCACATTGGAATCCAAATCTCTGGTGTGAGACCCTCAACTGAGGGCTGAGAGACATCTGACTACAAGATCTTAAAGGCTTCTTTCAGTTTTGTCAGTTGGGTTTAGATATCTGTTATAACTTCATAGTAGTCAACCAATTAAACCTACCAAAAAAAAAAAAAAAAAAAAAAAACCCAAGCAAAATTAAGCCACTTTTATTTTTATCAATAAAGACAGATAGGCATGAAAATAAAAATAATAGAGCCCAGCTGCTGTGTCTCAGTGGTTGAACATGAATTCAAGAGGACATTGGTTCAATTCCCAGTCAGGGCACATGCCTAGGTTGTGAGCTCCATCTCCAGTAGGGGGTATGCAGGAGGTAACCCATCAATAATTCTCTCTCATCATTGATGTTTCTATCTCTTTCTCCCTCTCTCTTCCTCTCTCTGAAATCAATAAAAATATTTTAAAAAATTAAAGTAATAGGGTTACATTATTACTTCAGGTTTGGGCTTCCATGAAATTACATAGGAGGTAGCATTTCAACCTGATCTCTCACTCCTTCCTTGCCCTGGGATATATCCACCCTCTCTCTCAAGTGCTCTCCTCTTCCCTCTGGTCCCCATGAAATACACTACTTCAGTAAGGGCTCTCTCACACATTACATTTACATCAATGGGCTCTCTTTGTCAGAAAGTTTAGATATGGAGGCTTCATATCAATATTTAAATTTTAAGATTTGCAACACTCATAAAAAGTGCCTGATTCATTGTAAAAAGAGTAATACAACTGCTGATTCTGGAATAACAAAAGCCTTTTCCTTCTATTAGGAAGCTTCTCAAGAGGAACTATGTCTTAGTTTTCCCAAACATAGTCTTAAAGGAAACTACTCACATTTAAGACAAAACCTGTTAGCATCATGTTGGTTATTCTTACGATGAATTATAAAGAGTAAAATGCCAACACAAAGAAACCTTTCCTCTAATTATAATAATGCAAGTTATAATGATAATAGGACAGCACTCTGGAAACAATAGTTTGTAAACTGATACCTAAGTGCCCTTCTAACTTTATGTTTCAAAAGATAATAAAATATTCCCTGAGCAGACTGAATTTCATTTATGATTAGGCCTTTACATTTCTTATTATTTATTAATTCAATAATTAAGTATTTATTGAAGAAAGTATTCTGTATTATATGTGCCTGTTTATCATCTACTACTTCAAAGAGCAATGCTTGATGTGAATAGAGGATTTGAGACATTTAATAAACAAAATAGACTTGGCTTATGTTCAACCAATCCAAAAACTAGATCTGAGAGGTCATGATTCTTAATAGAAAATAACTTTTCAGGACCTTGGGGTTAAAACAAATTTTATTAATAAAAAAATTCTGGTGAATACCAACTGCAATAATTGAGCATGCAAGGAAAAGTAAGTTCTCAAGGATACTTCATCATCTTAGTTGGTTAATTCAGTCAGATATTAGATCAACTAAAGTTCTGTTTCTAGTTGAAACAATGGTAGTGGCATTTATAAGGATATATGATCAAACTGGCTATGTGGAGAAGAGACATAGATACAACACACAGGAAAAGGTAACAAATCATGGTTATGTTGGTGGCTTAATTTAGGTGCATTTTTTAGGTGATCTATAAATATTTACTGAGTATATGCATAAATGAATAAGCAATGATTCCACATTATTCACACTAAAAGCATAAGAAATTAAAAAAATGTTTTAGAAGTGTAGTAGCCTGGTTTTGTTTTATATTCAGCTAATAAATGCTATCTCTAAAATGATTTAAGAAGTAATTATTTATTGTTGAAAGTATTATATATTCCCTCCCCCCCACCCCCATTGATTTCTATTCCTTCCAGCCTGCCCTTGCCCCAGGCATTCACCACTAGGGCAATTTTTCACCATCATCTTTAAAAAGCCTAGAATTCTTGTCTATTGTTAGTATAAATAAGTGGAGCAAATAGTAAACAATTTGTATAAATATCTAACTTAAATGCATTAACCTATACAATATCTCTTGAATGATACTCTCTGACTTTCAGCATCATTAACATTTCCCCCTCCTTTAAGAAACACTCTCCACTGTGACATCACACTGTCAGGTTTTCTCCCTTTCTCCCTTTCTCTTTCGGGTCTAGTTGCTGGCT